TTTTTTTTTTTTTTTTTTTTTCTTGCTTGAAAGTTAAATCCGCCTTACTAAACCTCTCAGTCAGTCAAAACACGTAGAAAGCAGAGAACAAAAAAATAAAAGCTACTCCTTATAACTTTGTGAAATAATAGTTTGCTAGTATTTAAGAGTAAAATATGGCTTTTTATAAAAATTCTTGACGATTAAAAAATACCAAATTTTGGTAGACACTCTCTATAATTTTCGGTAACGAGTGATGACGGTGTTTCTACTGGAAAAAGGATGGAATTACTGTAGAAACAGCGGGTTATTTACAGCCTCATCTTTTTTTCTTACCGACCTATAACCCACCACTCCCAAAAAAAAAAAAACTACAAATTTTTGCTTTGTTACAGAAAAAAAGAATTCTACAAAAAATGATTTTTTTTCTAAAAAACTTAAATATAAGTTTTTAAAAAGTTTATTAAAATTCTTGTTCTCTTATATCTATACAATTGTTCAGCAAAATCGAACTGTTTGATATGTATTCAAAAGTAGAGAAAATGACAAATCTAAAAAGCAAGAAATTATAGAATTTTGTTAAGTCCGAGGTGAATTACAAGACTGAAAAATAGTCGTCGGCATTTCAGGCAGCAACATAGTGAATTTGGCATTGGCGTTATTTGATAAAAAATTCACTTTTCCGGGTTCTCTCTTCAGTTTTTTTTTATATTCAAGCCTAGACTGTAATAACCAGCAAAATTCAAAAATAATTCTGGCACACCAAGTAAATAAAAATTGCCAATTAGCATAGAACAGCCCATACACTGTACATGCCTTCTCTTTATAAATGAAACAAAAGAAGTATTGTATATGGCAATACATTCCAAGCATATTGCTGAAGAACCTGTCGACAAAAAGTGCGTGTCTGCCGGAACAGTTCCAACTTCCCAGATGAAACCTGCCATAGCAAGAATTTTATAACAATTTTCATTTACTCAGGTAGCTCATTTCCGAAAAACAGAATAGCCATTAGGACTCTCTAAAAACGAGCTAATTAAGCATGTTAATATAAATACGGATTACCACTGAGTTTCGAGTACACTTCAATTTTCCTTACTCAAGTCTTTCTTACCCCAGGGGCTTGACTTAATTCCAAAAAACTTTTCAACCGTTCGGCATGCTCATTTCGGAATCAGCTTATAACAATTATAGCGACAAATTAAGCAAAAAAACTAAAATTTTAAACTAGCAACAAAAACCGCAGTCATTTGTAAACTTACAAGATGCAGTAACATATAAGGATGGTAAACTCAAAAAAGTGCCTACCTCCTCCTAACTAGATTAATACAGTTAAATTAGTACAGTTCCGCCTATTTCTACAGCAGTTCAACAAGTATTAACGATTGCGCATGGACAAAAAAAATATTCCGGATGTGTGCAAAACATAAACTTACAAATAGAAACAACCAATAGCCTCCTTCCCCCTCCACCTAAGAAAAATTCTTCGGAGAGCCCTTACTTATAATATACTAAAGACCAGGGAGCGATTTCGGAGTGAACAGAAGACACAGACTAAGAGCCTTCTGGAAATGCAAAAAACCTAGACTTGCGCGACATTCGATCAATAACTTATAAAAAGAAAAAAAACAGTCAATGAATCTTGATCAGAAAAACATTTGCTAACATTCCTGGACCATTTTTTGAGCCTGGGAGGGTTATAGTGTGAGTATCCTAGACGGAGGAGAAGGCTCTCAAAGCTGCACCAGGCTCTTGTACGAAAAGCGCAGACCAGTACAAAAAATGGCGCGTAACTCAAAAAGAAAAAACAAAACAATTGGTAATCGCTAATCTTATCAGCATAGTTGTTTTTGTTTTTGGAGCATCCTATCCCAGCAGAATGAATTCTTTGAATAAATAGTAACCTCAATAAAACCATAACAATGTCAAACTTCGTGTTTCGGAAATTGGAATTTTCCCAACAGGAACGCACCTCGTATTGGCGGGACCTTCAGCAATAGACTGCAAGTGAAATGCCCCCCGAATTAC